AGAAGGACCATTTCAGAGCAGAATGGAGTGAAAGGAGGCAGGGGCACAGTGTGGGCGGGATGACCCGCAGGTGCAAAGGCCCTGGGGTTGGAGGAGCGCCAATTGGCTGTGTGCAGCACTCTGACAGGAGAGAGCACTTGGAGTTCAGGAGGAGGACATAGCATCTGCTGGGATCAGAGAGTGTGAGGCTTTGGGGGCTGTGGCAGGGAGTTGTGCTGTCATCTTCATCTTGAAGGCCACAGGAAACAGTGATTGGTAGGAGGGTTTTAAAGGCAGACAGGACGGGCTCTGCATTTTGGGAAGCTTCTTCTGGTTCTGTGTGGGGCAGGCCTGAGAGATGGGTGCAGGGCAGAGGCAGGGTGACCAGAGGGGGCTGCAGCAGGGCCTGGCTGGGAGATGGTGGTGGCTTGGGCTGCGCTGGCACGGGGATGGAACGCCTGATGGGGGGAAGGGTGTGTCTGATCAGTGCACCCATGGGGCTTGGAGAGGAATGACAGGGCAGAGCCAGGCTTGTCTGGAGCTTTGATGCTGTGCGGGCTGGGACACCGCCGGCCAACGGAGGCCTTGGTGGAAATCAGAGAAAGGTGCTGAGTGGATGAATTTAAAAAGGGTCCCCTTCCTGCCCCCAAACATGGAAGATGTGGCCCCAGAGCCCCCGGCTTGGAGGGCTAGAGTTGAGCCTCGCCCAGAAGCCGAGCTGTGGGGCATTGAGCGATTGTGCCTGCTCCAGGCCTGGCTGCTGTGGGATTGGGACAAACAGCCCAGCCTGGGGCCATCAGTCACGAGGAAAAGCCTGTCTCCTCCGCGTGGGGATTTACTGCATGGGCAGACAGGAAATCGCCGTGCAGGGACCCTGCCCTGTCCCCAGCACTGCCCAGCTCACGTCACCCTGGTAATTGCTCCTTGGGCCACATGTCATCTTGGACTGACATTGTCTGAGCCTCTGCCTTAGGGGAGGCCAGGGGCCGGGCTGATGGCCACAGGCTTGGCAAGGGAGTGGGCAGCTGCCAGGATTAGCCGAGACTCAGAAGAATGAGGGTCCTGGGATTCCAGGGGGAGCGAGACCAGCCTGGCCAACATGGTGGGGCCTCTGCATGGGAGAAGCTCTAGGATGAGGCCAAGCTGGTGAATTGGTGCCCACTCTTACCCCTCCTTCCCGGCCCTCCTGGGAACTTCTACGACGTGTGTGTTGGGGTGAAGTGCAAGCAGGATGAACCCAGGGAGAGGAGGCAAGGGAGGAAGAATCCCAAGGGCCAATCAGTTGCAGGGGAAGGAAGGGAAGGGACAGGGAAAGGGAAAGAGTTGGTGGAGGAGGGGCGGGACATCAGGACATCGATCTCTGCTTAGCCAATGAGCTGGCTGCTCTAAGGCCAGTGCCCTTTGTGGACCAATCTGCCAAGGCTGGGAGGGTACCTGGAAATTCGAGAGGGGCCGGGTATGAGCTAGTGCCACGTTGCTCTGGTGAAGAGCTCAGCCTCCGTCTGATGGTAGATGGAGTTGTGAGTGTGAGCGCCAGCGACCCCAGGCCCTGAGGGCCCCTCTCCATGACAGAGGTACTGCTGGTGCCACTGCAGCCTGGGTAAAGAAGCCCAGGCCCCAGGGCGGAAGGTCACTTGCCAAGGTCGCACTGTCAGGAAGTGGTTGGTGGAGCCTAGACTGGGACCTGGGCAGCTGGCCCCGGGGCCATTGTGTGTGAGTCCCCGCCAGCGTGCTGGGGAGAGAGGTGCCTGCAGCCCAGATCTCACCGCATCTCACCACTGTGCACCTTCAGGACAGAAGGCAGAGCATTCATGCAGGACAAGGGCTTAGTGTGTATCGGCTGTTAGGATTTTTCTTTTTTTGAGATGGAGTCTCGCTCTTGTTACCCAGGCTGGAGTGCGGTGGTGCGATCTCAGCTCACTGCAACCTCCACCTCCCGAGTTCAATCAATTCTCCTGCCTCAGCCTCCTGAGTAGCTGAGATTACAGGCACGTCCCACCATGCCTGGCTAATTTTTGTATTTTTAGTAGAAACGGGGCTTCACCATGTTGGTCAGGCTGGTCTCGAACTCCTGACCCCAAGTGATCTGCCCACCTCGGCCTCCCAAAGTGCGGGGATTACAGGAGTGAGCCACCGCACCTGGCCGCTGTTAGGGGTTTTGCTGTCATCATCACAGCATATGGTTGTCAAAGGCTGCCCCTGTGGCAGGAGCTGTGAGTGGAGCAGTTTCCCAGAGAGGCTGCGAGGCTGGAGTGCTGTCATAAATGCCACACTGCACATGGTAATCTGGGACACGCCCACGGCAGTCAGCAAGGTACCCCCGGGGCACTTGGGGACACACACAACATATTGGATGGAGGCTGGCCGCCTCTTGCTGTCTCCAGCCTCCGGCCTTCAGATGCTGAGGTCTCAGGGCCCCAGAGAGCACTGTGCATGCATGGGAGGCTGGCATCTCATTGCGAGGGGCCCAGTCTTGCCAGCCCCACTCCCACTGGGCCCCGCAGCACTGTCCCCATGTCCCTTCCTCTCCATCACATTCCTTAGCCTGCTTCTATCTCAGGGGTTGCAGACTCACACGGTGGCTGTGTGTGTGTTTGTGTGAGTGTGTGTGTGAGGTGGTCATGCCAGGGAGGACTGCAGGCAAGAATGTGACAAGAGGGGCTGGTGGGGACCAGGGCCCTCTGGAGAGCACTGCTCAGGCTCTGGGGCCAGCTAGGAATGTGGGACCAGATTGCCAGATCTTCCCGTCTTTCCAGAGAAGCAGGGAATCTGAATTTTAATGTGAAACTTGATAATAAAGGAAGGCAACTCATTTTAAAAAAGATTAAACTTCATCTAGTGAGTCTGCCAAACCCAGGAGCCTGGGCCACTGGACTGTGGGCTGTGAAGAGGCCAGGTGGGGCCTGGAGGCCTTGGGAGGGACTGTCCTGGCTCCAAGTGAGGCGGGAGGTGAGGCCCAGAGAGGGAACCGGGGCATCTCAGCACACATGCCTGGGCATGGGGCAGCTGCCACCTGCCGAGCTGCAGAACCCCCCTTGGCAGGCTCTGGGGGTCCTTCTGGGTCCTTCTGGAGTGGCAGTGCCAGCAGGTTCTTCCCGCTGCTGAACAGAGGAGGCAGGTCCCCAAGGGCTGGAGGCCTGAGGGAGCTTCCACTGGGAGCCTGTGCCTTAACCCTCTTACCAGCTGCAGTGGAGATCCATTCTAGTCACTGATGCTGGGGAGCCAACGAGCCCCAGCTGCTGACAGCTGTAGCCTGGGAGTCATTTATGTCCCTGTTTGTTAGGGCGCTGGGGGTCGGGGGACGTTGCACAGAATGGGAAGCCTCATGATGTAGAGGGAAAGTAGGGCCTCTGTTCACCCACAACAGCTGAGGGTGGGGGCTGCCAACTCCAGGACCCAGAGGCGTCCCGATGGTCATCTGGTCTTTCTGCCCATCTGGGGGCTGAGGATTGGGAGTGACAGGCCAGGAAGGAGCCCCTCTCTCCTTTTTCCTCCCTGGAGAGGGAATGGGAGCTGGGAGATTCCAGCCTGGGACATCCTGGAACCCCTGGGTTAGGGGCCGGGCAGAAAGGGAGGCGGGCTGAACAAGCAGGATTGGTGAAGGGCCCAGAGCCTGCCCTCTGACAGGCTTTATTTAATACTTGGCTCACTCAGTGTGTATTTCACTATTTGTTGAAGTTGAGCCAACATTTAAAAGTTGGATTTCACATTAAAGATAAACAAAATGCCTGGATGTCTGGCTTCTCTTAGAAACCTTGAGGATCTGACTTCGTGATCTGCCCGCCCAAAGCCAGGAGCTGGAGGTTGCAGTGAGCCGAGATCCAAACATTGCACTCCAGCCTGGGTGACAGGGTAAGACTCCGTCTCAAAAAAAAAAAAAAAACAGAAACCTTGAAGACCGCATGCTGCTGGTCCCTTGGATCTGAGGCGTGGCTGACTCCTTAGAAGGGTCCGTGCTGCCGTGCAGACCATGGTCCTTGCAGGCCAGCATTGACATCACTCCCTGACATCACTTGCCTGGCCCCTGAATAACGGGGCTCCAGCCCAGGGCTCTGCCTAGGGGCTGGAGAGGGTAAGCAGAGCTGTGAGGCTGGGACTCCCCGGCCGGCCTCCCACGCTCAAAGGGGAATGCTGGAAGGGCTGGGCTGCCCTTGAGGCCCTCCAAGGCTGGCCCAGAGATCCCTCCACCAGGAGGAGGGAGGGTGACTGCTCTCCAACACCAGCGTAGCTGGGCACGGCCAGGCCTCCGTCTGCAGGAACTCAGAGGGAACGGGGGCATGGAGTAGGCCGGCCGGAGCCCTTACTGTTTCCCCCATGCTTGGGGCTGGGACACTCCTGGTTGGACAGAGGGGACTCTCTCCTCTGACCCACACAGTGAAGCCAAGTGGGGTTTCTAAAGGATTCTCCGGCCTGCTGCCAATGCTGTTGCTGGTGCCTGGACTGCAGCATGAACCCCCTCAACTGAGCGCTTTTTCCACTCAAGGGCTGCTTTATCCAGAAGCCACGAGCTGCCAACACTCACCCCTGGGGCAGCAGGGGCATGGGGAGTGGCAGGGAGGAGGCCCAGGAATTGGGGGTCTGGGGGCCGCTGTTCCAGGATCCGCACATGGTGAAGGAAAACCCTGGGGCCAAAGACCCAAGGATTATCACCCCTGCCCCCTCAGCCCTCCAGGGTTCATCTCAGGGTCTGGGCGTTGACTAACAGCTTCCAAAGCTGTGGGTCCTGGGAAAGTTGTACAACCTCTCTGTGTTCCAGCTCCCTTATCTGTAAAGTGAGGATACTAACAGTGCCCACCCCAAAGGGTTGTTTATGCAGATTAAACAGGTCAGAGCCAGGCATGTAATAACCACGGTATATGGATGGGCTACTATTGTCTGCTGATACGGCACGACAATCCACTGAGCAGTCAGGGCGAGATCACGACCCCATCTGCAGCTCAGTGCGGGCTTCTCTGTGTCACTCAGCTCCTGGACGCAGCATGGACTTCCCCGTCTGACCCCAGATCCGGTGACTCGGACTGTAGTCTTAATAACATCTTTTATTAATTTTGCAAGAGGAGAAAAATAGAAATTTATTTCAGAGTTAACGCCTATGCAGCTTTTTTTTCCCTCCTAAATTGCACAGTACATACGATTATTATAAACATCGGCCGAGGTTCTGGGTTGTGTGAGTGCCATCTCCCTGACAAATCTGACCTGTACCCATGCCTCAGCTGGGAAGGAGCAGCTGGGACTCCTTTTAATGCAGCGACACTGCTTTGGGTCACAAGAGCTGGTGTGATCAGCCCGACTCCCCCACGGTGGGAGGTGCTCCTCACATCTGGGAGCTGAGCAGAGGTGCCGGGGGCTTGGAAGCCAGAGAAATGATGGATCTTTCCCCGGGAGAAACAATTCTTATCTTCACATCAGCCCCGTGCTCCAAATGAAAAGCGCATTTGCATAGCTGCTCGGCTGCTAAGCTCGTGAAGTATTTGCTGGGGCCCTGGGTTGCATAGGAACGTACCTTGAGTGCAGTACTGCGGCGGGCCGGGCTGGGCGCCAGAAAAACAACGGATTAATATTTGGAAAGAGAAATTACCCACCACTGGGAAACCAATTAGGTCCCTGATCCGAGCTTGTTACATCGATGGAAATAGATGCGTTCTGGGCTGCACTCGGTTGGGGGTGCAAGGCACATTTCCAACTTGCTGGGAAGTGGCTGAAGACGGAGAAAGGGTGGGGGCCCGGGCGAGGAGCACCTCACGGCCTGCCTCCAAGGGCAAAGGGGCATGGACAGAAAGCAGCCACCTCAGTAAGCCTGGCTGTGATCAGCCCAGGAGGGACATGTGGCAGAGAGTGTAGCAAGGGCTTGCTGAAGGGTGAGGGGGGGTGTCCTTGGCGTACCCCATGCCTGCGTCTAGACTGCACTGGGGTGGGTTCTTCTGGCCCTCTGGGGTCTGGAGCTGCCAGCCTACTAGCCGGCCTGCCCACTCTTCCTGGCCTGGCAGCAACACAGAGACAGTGCCCTGGCCTGCCAGAGTGGGCTCAGCTCTTGCCAGGGTGGCCGGCGGGTGGCCTGGCTGACTTTCTTCCCTCTGCAGGACGCGCAGCCTCACCAATCCCTTATCAGGCCTGATGAGAGGAGACGGGGAGCTATACAGAATGAGAGGGTCTTGTGGACGTGAGTCCAGGAAACTATCCCAACCTCTCAGCCAGCTCCACCAGTCCCCAAATGAGACACGGATGTGCAGGGGCCAGGGGAGTGCTGGCGCTGATGCTCAGGCTTCTGAAGGCAGGTGTCCCTGGGCACTGCCCTGACTGCTGGAGCTGCGGGGTGGGGTCTGGTCTCCCCACTGCCCTGCTCAGCCGTGCTCCGGGCCCTCTTAGGCTGGATGGGAAGCCTCCTCAGCTCGTCTCATTGTCCTGGCCCAGGACAGGCCCGGCTCATCGTCAGCCCAGGCCCGAGTGGTCACGGGCCCTGCTTTGCTGGATCTCACAGCAGAGGCATGAAAGCAGGTGTCCCGGGCTCCCTGAGGCCAACCCGGAACTGCAGGGGATTACCCATGGCCACGCCGAGCCCTGCCATCTGTCACTCTGCTAGCATCCAGGGCTGTCCTCCCGAGTCCCCTCTCCCCAGCAGGCTCCCCTCAACACTGCCATCCAGATCCTGGGACTGAGGGGAGGGACACTGGCGCCAAGTGGGGCTGGCGGCGGAGCCCACCCCCGCGGGAGGATGAGCTCTCCCTCTCGCCAGTCAGCACCGCCATCGTCTCGCCGCCTCCTTCTCGCTGATGCAGGTTTTGGGGCGTAAGGCTGTCACGACAGGACACAGAGGGACCAGGGTTACCAAGTCTCAAACCCTGGAGGGGTGCCCCACACTCCCCAGTGAAATCCAGCAGCCTGGGTTGCCATTCAAGGCCCTTGGAGAACAGTCCCTGTGCTTGGGGCACCTGGCACCCTAGCCCCTTCCCTCCGCCTGGAGCAGGCTCTACCACAACACCCCTCTCGGCCTTTGCCCAGGCTGCCTGGCACACTCCTCACGTCCTTTATGATCCAACTCAAACATCACCTCCTCCAGGAAGCCCTCACCTTGGGCATCCTCTATTGGTTTCCCACGGCCCAGGGCAAACCCCTTCAATATGGTGCTCTGCCCCTGACTACTTTTCCCCTGAGCCCACGACACTTGGCTTACAGGAACCTACGCTGTGTTACCTTTGCCTGCAATAAGCTGGCAGCATGTTGCTCCCTGGTTCTGTCCCCTTCAGTCCCTCCCCAGGCCTCCGGGTGGGCTCCTGGGCAGAGGAGAGGGGTCTAGGGGCAGGCAGGGGTGAGAATGGGGGTGCGAGGCCACCAGCTCCTTCTGTATTCAGACCGAGCTCCCAAGGCGCGACATTCTGGGCAGAGAAATGCCACTGACCTGGGTCAACAACGCTCTGCTTCCGTTTCGTGTTGGCAATGATTTGGTTTTCATTCATCATCTGGACATCCTGATCCTCGGCCTGATTACTGTGGGGAGGAAGGAGGCAGAAGATTCGATCAGGCTTCTGGCCGCGTGTCCCAGCCATCCATCCTTGTTTGTTAGGGCTGGCGGGGAGGCCGTGGGGCCGGCTTGGGCCATACCTGATGGTGGTGTGTCTCTCCTGGTGGCAGATGTCCCTGTCCTCGGTGAAGAGGATGGTGTGGTACGGCACGGTGGGCTCACATGTGGGCAGGATGCCCCTGACCAGGTGGTTCACCATGGCCAGGATTCCGTTATACACGAGCAGGTCATCCACCAAGAGCTGCATGGGCACAGGGGCGGGGCTCATGGGTCCCCCTCCTCCCTCCCGTGTTGACCTTGGGCAAAGCACGTTACTGCTCTGAGCCAAGGCTTTCTCCTCGGGAAGATGGGGCTGTCAGGAACAAGCGCCTACTGTGTGCTGTGCCGGCCTTGTGATTTCAGAGCTTCATAACCACTGGGAAAGGCAGGGGCTATCAGCTCACATTGCAGATGAGGAAATTGAGTCCCAAGGGGCTTTAACACCATGAGCACAAGCAGCAGAACTGGAGGTAAACTCGGGTCTCTGGTCCCCGGGGTCCCTGTTCTCCCCATCCCAGGGTCACTGCCCCAAACCAGTGGGATTCTAAAGGGAAAGATGAAAGAAAAGCCACTTTCTGTTTGCCCAGGGTGACACTGAGATCACTGCCAGCAGGTTCTGAATTCATGGCTGGATGGTAAATCTGCCTGCATCTGAGGACCAGGCGTTTGTGTTGAGGGTTGCAACAGAGAGAAGTAAATCAAACTGCGACAAATGATAATTGCCGGCGGCCTAATTACCAACGAGCATAATTATCTCAAGAAACTCAGCTAATAAGTACTTACGCCAAACTCCTTCACCCCTCGATGGGGTGTTTTCGCATAATTCCACAGTTTGATCATTGACACGGTGGTAGGCAGATCGAAAATCACATAAACTCGGTTCACCTGTCAGAGAGCAGAACTAATTAAAACAGGCATGTTTGGAAACAGAGGTGCTCGGCTGGGCTGGGGGCGCCCGGCGTGGGCTGGGGACGAGCGGTGGTGCCCGAGGCAGCGCCTGCCATGTGGGCCAGCCTGGAGTTCCACCCCCTTTCATCTTCTCAAGGCCCATCTTGAGTCAGGTCACGTGTGGCTGCGTTTGCAACAAACCGCTGAGCTGGCTCTTGGAGGGCCTGTGTTCTCAGGCCTGGCGGGGCCTCATTTAAATGGCAGCGGAGAACTGGGAACATTCTCTGCCATCCTCTGCCTCCCCTCAGGTCAGGCCCAGAAACAGTCTAGAGCCCCATGGGCTAAAGGGACAGTCCCCAACTTGGGTGGAGCACCAGATGTCCTGATTGGCATCTGACCCTGTCTGTCCTTTCCCCAAGCCATCACTGAGATGCAACGTGAAGGGTGCCGCTGGGCAATTTCCAGTGCTTGTCTGTGAACCTCCGCTGGGGGAGGAAGGAGGGCGATGTCTAGATTGGGGAAGAATCCAGCAGGAAGAGCGGGACGGGGCAGCCTCAAACAGCCCTCCCTCTCCCCACCTCCAACCAAGGTTCTCAGATATTAGGGGGCTCCTCCCTTGCAAGACAGAATCAAGAAGTAAGCATTCCACACTGGCCACAGGCTGCAGGCTGAGTCCTGCCCCAGGCCCCGGTCCCCAGCTTGTGACCATCCTCAGAATGTTCCAAGAGGGAGCGGGGCTGCTGGGCTAGGGACAGCCTCCTGGCAGGACCATGGAAACAATAAAGGTCAGGGCGAGGGTCCTCAAACTCAGTTGCCTGTGAGGCTCAGGCAGATACAGATGTTGGAGTCCAGCCGCGAGAGCAACAGCTGAAGTCGCCTCACCCCAAAAGGCCTTCCAGTGCAAGACAACGGAAAATCCCTGCTGGCTGCCAGTGTGTAGCCCGCATCTCAGGGAGGACAGAGCTGTGTGCTCCCCCTCTGCACTGGTGCTGGGGAAGCTGACGGACGCTCAATGGGGGTCTAATTTTAGGGTGGCCTTTGGATTTAGGCATAGAACTGCTGATGCTATACCTTCCTGTGTTTTGAGAAAAAAATGTGCCCCCTTGTCCATCCGCCTTGACCCATGGCATGGACAAGGGACACATCTCTGGTCATCTGGGTGCTGAGAACCCACTGTCCATCCCTACCAGGCATCTGGCCCCAGGGTAAGAGGCTTGCGGGGGAGCTGACCACCCCATCCATGCCATGTGGCCGCTCCCCTTCCTCTCCACCACAGCCATGTCCGTTCACCATGAGGCCTCCGTGCTAAAAGCTGAGCAGGGCCCAGTGCAAGGTATGAGATCTGGGAAACTGAGTCAGTTGGTCGGAAGAGCTGACCAGGCCGATTTGGGGCCAGAAGGAGGGTAGGACGGCCGTGTCGGGGTCATCTACCCAGTGATGTAGGGAGGAGCAGAAACAGTCAGTGTGCGGGGAGCTGGGTGCAGAGGAAGAGGGCAGCCAGCAAAGCCAGCCAGGCGGAGCAGAGGGCCACAGAGCTGCCTGCGCGACTGAGGATGCCCAAGCCCTCGGGCAGCTGCGCTGGGGCTCCTGGTTTCAGATTCCCATGGGGCCCCTTTCGTCCCTGGTGTCCCCTCACAAAAGAGAAAGAATTGCTGGACTGGAAGAGCTGACCCCATCAGGCATGTTAGCAAAGACCTAACCCTTTCCGACAGCTCCCACGCATCTTGGCTTGTTCGAGATTCACTTGACCTGGAAGAAAGGTGTGTCACTGAGACCGGGGAAAGAGGATCCCTGGGAACCCACCAGGCCCGGCAGGATGGGAGCCAGCCACATGTGCCTGCCATCACTGGTGTCGTTCACTTGGTCGATGAGCTTGTCTGGAGTGCGGACGTCCCCGCCCACACCCTCCAGGGAGTTCACGCTGTCAGGGAAGGCAGCGATATCTGAGGAGGTGTCTAAGTTGCCATAACCCAAATCTGTGTGCTCAGAGCTGCCAGCTGCCCTTAGGCTGCCAGTTCAGCTCGGGGGACTCGGGCTGGCAGCGTGACGCTTTGCGCATCCGGGGCCAATTGGACGTGTCCCGGGGAAACTGGGAGTGCCAGGGTCAAGGGGAGCAGGTGTGTATGGAGGGGTGGTCAGTTTCAAGTACAAAGAGAAGGAAACCACACAGAAGGCCGGCTGAAAAAGAGGCCCTGCAGGGAACTGCCAGAGGTGGGGACGTAAAACGCTGCTACTGCTTGGGAGGGTGGAGGGCAAGCTCAGCGGAGGTTTTCTCTGGGAAGGGAATGGGGCGGTGGCTGGATTTTACCCTGGCATGGGTGGACGGTGCCAAGTCTCTCCCCCTGGCCAGCGTGGAAGGACCTGGGGCAGCTGGACTCAGCTAATGTGATCTGCAGAACCCGGCTTCTAGCTATGCCTCTGCCATTTTGGCCTGTGAGAGCTTGTGCAAGTCACATGGCAACCCTGGGCCTGTTTTCCCATCTGCAAAATGGGTATAAAACCCTCCAGCTCCAGGCATGAATGCGAGGATCTCAGCGCACCACATGCGAGCCCTCTTGGTAAAAATCAGTGAAACTTTATAGCTGCAAGGAGTCTCTACTCATGATCAAAAACATCAAGATTAATTCACCGCAGCTGAGGAGGGTGGTGGCACCAGGGGAAGGCAGGAAGGGATCTGACTGGAACCCAGGGACCCCAAACAGATGCAAGGCAGGCTTTGGGTTTTGACCTGACTGGTATATCCCTAACTGTGGGGGGCCAGGGATCACAGACTCAAGATCCGAGAGGGGCCAGGCAGGTTACATGAAAGAGGCAGGATAGCTTAGTGCTTGGTCAATGGCCGGTGTCGGGACACAGACTACTGGCTGTGTGACATTAGGCAAGTTACTCGACCTCTCTGTGTCTCAGGCTCCTCATCTGTAAAATGGGGATAATAGCAGCAATCACCTCAAAAGATTGTTGTGAGGGCAAATGAGGTGGCACAGAGTGAGCCCGAGTAAACACAGTGTGTTTCGGGGCCTGGTAGATAACAATGGCAGGAGTGGGGGTTCTCCACGGCAGCGGATAACCAGGTCCAACCATTGTCGCTGTGCACAATCAAGGGCCTGTGTTGCCAACTTCTCAAGGGAAACCAGAGATCGGGGTTTTCACGTGAAACCTCCTGATTTCTAAAAATATTAGCAACTCATTTTAAAATGCGCTGGGCTAACAGTTTGCAAATTCTGGCGTGGACATACCATGAGCAAAGGATTCCATGCTTAAGACATTCAGGACACACTGTGTTGAACACAGTGCAACAGGCTTCTCCCTGCAGACCTTGTCAGAGCCTTTAGAACACCAAAATATCTGTGGTTCTCCGAGAGGGAGACTGTAGTTGGCAGCCTCTCTCAATTCACTGGACCACAGGACTCTTTGGTTTGTGGAATTCCTGCTCCTGATGTCTTAGCAGGCAGGGCTGGGAGCTACTCTCTGCTGCCCGCCCCCAAGGGTCAGCACCTGACTATCAGCAAAGCCTGGGCTCTGGTTCCTAGAGGGCCATTTCCCTCTGCTTGGAAGGTTTCTGCTCTGTTCCCGACCCTCCCGCGCCCCCTTCAGTCTGGGTGGAGCCCGCTCCTGTCCTAGAAAGGATACTGTTTTCCGACAAGGGAATTTTTTCTCCCCGCTCGTCATACAGCTCTAGGCCGGTGAGACCAATGTAATACGGGTCACCCCAGCTGGTGAGAAGCTGAAACTGGAAAATGACTGGGACACTTTATTAAGGAAAGGAAGCCTTACTTTTTTGGCAGAACAAAGTAAAACAAGGTAAAGAGGAATTGTTTTGGGTTTATATTAATGAAATAGAGAAAAACATTTTTCTCTTATTGAGACTAGAGCCTATCGAAATATAGCTGGTATCACATTTTCTTAAACTGCATGTGTGTGTGCATGTATGCATGTATGCACACATGTGCATATGCATGTGTGCATGTGTGCGCACGAGTGCTCATGTGTATGCATGCATGTGTGTGCTGTACATGTGTGTACATGTGCATGTTCATGTGTGCCTGTGTATGCAGGCATGTGCATTCGTGTGAGTGTGCTGCATGTATGTGCAAGTGAGTGTTCATGTGTGTGCATGAGTGTTCATGTGTGTATGTATGCATGTGTGTGCGAGTGTGCATGTGTTCGTGTGTGTGCGTGTATGCATGCATGTGCAAGCATGTGTGCATGTGCCTATGTGTGTGTTAGGAATCCAAAGCCTTCTTCCCACAGGCCCAGGAGACAGGACAGGAGGAGAGGTGCTCTCCAGGGAGCAGGCAGGCTGGGGAAACATCTGTGTCACAAACTCATTGTATGGTATTGAACGAAGTGCCCCAGTTTCCCTGGTTGTGAAATGACAAGAATAGACTATCTGCCCCCTCTTCCATCCCTTTCAAGTAGACAGGAGGCTAAGAAGGGGACACACGAACCTCACAGCACCAGGGACAGGGAGACCGCCATTGCTGATCAAGTCCCACATGCAGGCCTGGGCATCAAGCCCCTCCTCAGCCCTGTGCCCCGCTCGCCCCCTGAACCTCAGGAGCAGACTGGGTGGGAGGCCTGAAAAGGGGCAGGGCAGCTCCCAGATGATGGAGTAGCCGGAGGTAGTGCTTCCGGAACTGGCCGGCCAGAGAGCGGGCCTTAGAGCCAGGCTGCCTGGGCTCACTCCCCAGGCCCTACCCCTTCCCACCTGTGTAGCCTTGGGCAAATTACTGAGCCTCTCTGTGCCTCCATTTTCCTAGCTATGAAATGGGCATGCTAGTGGTACCACAGTGCTGGGCTCTGCTGCCCAGGCTGGAGTGCAGTGGTGCAATGAGAACTCACTGCAGCCTCGAATTCCTGGGCTCAAGGGGTCCTCCCATCTCAGCCTCCAAGTAGCTCAGACTATGGGCATGTGCTACCAGCTAATTTATTTGTTTTAAGATATGGGGTCTCATTATGTTGCCCAGGCTAGTCTCAAACTCCTGGCCTCAAGTGACCCTCCTCCCTCGGTCTCCTAAAGCACGGGGATTACAGGTGTAAGCCACCGCGCCTGGCCTGCTAAGCTATTTCTATCTTCACCTCCTCCCTGGCTGGCTCCAGGACACCCCCTCCCCAGTCTAGCAGCTGGGGTCAGTGTCAGCTTCTCTAAGCTACAGTCTGAGAGCTACCCCTCTCAGCTACAGTCCTGGGTGTTGCCCCCTCCAGCCTCAGCTGCCAGGAGTGGGATCTGGAACTAGCTTGGCTGCCCCAGTCCCAGCAGCTCCCAGTGGCCCCGAGGACCCAGGGGTCCTCCCATCCTCTGTCTTGGTTTCCCTGCATGGAGTTCCAGTTGCCTCGGCTATGACCGCCTGAAACCCTGGCTGGGCCGCCTCGGGGCCCGGGATGAGCCGGCGGGGCGGGAGCAGAAGGATACAGCCGCAGGGCATCAGCGGCGCCTCGTAGTCCATGCTCGGGCACTCCAGGCTTTTTGTGTCCAGCCTGAAAAAGCACAAAACAGCACCATGAAGAAGCTCACGACAGCCCAGAATCACCAGCCGGTTACTCCCCAGGCAACAGGCTTTGAAGAAACGTGGCAGTTTAGCGTTCCCCGGGCTGCGGCAGGGAAAAGACAGATGAGGCCCCTGCGTGCGTGGAGTTCCCGCTCTAGATGACAGTCATTGCCAATGCCAGCAGGATGCTGTGCCAGGGAGGCACGGGGCTCAGGGCTTTCCTAAAATGGACTCCTTTATTCCTCAACACAACCCTAGGAGGTGGGTATTTTTAGATCCTTGGGAAGTGGATGAGGAAACTGGAACACAGAGAAGTGAAGTCACTTGCTCAAGGCCGTGCAGCTGGCAGGTGGCAGAGCCAGGCTGGGACGCCAGGTCTGCTGCCACTGCCCCTTCACTTAACCACCCCCACTATGCCTTTATACGCAAGGGTGTCCACGCTGTGCTGACAGCCAGGACAGGGTGACGGGGCTGAGGGACTGGGTGGGGCAGGCTGCCTCAGGGAGTGCTCTGGGACGGCCTCCAGGAAGAGGCAGCCTTAGGAAGTGTCAGAGCAGAGCCTTCCACACAGAGGAGCAGCAGAGCAAAGGCCCAAGGTGGGAAGACACTAGGCTGCTGGTGTGACCGAGAAAGCAGCCAGAGGGCTGGAGTCTGGGGCAGGATGGGGAGAGGGAAGCGAGAGGAGGCTGGAAGGCGGGCAGAGCCCTGACGGCTGTGGCCTCATGATCTTCAGTGCCTGAGTCCACTAGCCAGGGCCTCAGTTCCCACATCTGTAAAATGGGCATCATCCTGGCTAAGTCAAAGGGTGTTGGGAAGGATTCCCCAGAGGACCCAGCAAAGCATTCCACACAGCAGGTCCTTCGGAAGGGTTCCCTCCTCCATGGTCCTCCCCACGGGGCCCCCCGCCTCGGTCCAGTGTGAGTGTGCTCCAGCCCTAGCCTGGTTCTCTTCCGTTTCAAGGGCAATGTTACAATTAAGGGACTGTTCGCAGTGACCGGCCCAACCAGCCAAGCCCGCTACAGTGCAGGGAACCTCATTTTGTTCCGAGAGCTAGGCCTCTGGTGTTTGGACATCAGGGGGTTTAAATGAGTAAACTTAACGTGGCATTTACAAATCGTTATGAACTTAATGCGGCTGAGATTGGGGCCAAGAAATCCCAGTGAATCCATGAAATATTAAGCTCTATTTTTCTCTTTGAAGCTTTCTAAATCAGGAACACAGAAACAAGAGAAAGAAGGCCCTTCCCCAAACTGGTCAGCAGGTATTTCTGGAATGGAGGCAGGCTGTAGCCTCTTTTCCCAGCAGGAACCGCAATGAAGCATTTAAAATCTTCAGCACTCCAGACTGAAAAACCCAAATGTCCCCAGACAAGGCAAGTCCATTCCACAGGCTTCCGGTGAGGCTTGGCTGAGCTTTAGAAAATGACTAGGTTGAAAAGCAATGCGTTTGATCACCGTTTCAAAACCCTTTTAGTATATACATCAGAGAACTTGCAAAGCAGGCGGGCACAGGGGCCGGGAGGGGCTGTGCGTGGCGCCCACTTCCCCCTCACCTCCTGGACGGCTGGGGCGGCTGCCGAGCCTGTAGATAGTCCACGAAGAGGATTTCTTGAGCAAAATCAAAGTGGCAGTTGCCTGGCCCCTTCCGGATGAGAAAGCCCTCTGGCGGGGAGACGCACAGGCTGTCCAGGGAGACGTGGACAATCTTGGCCTGGTGAACAAAAGAAATAACGTGACTGAAGGGAGGCAGGCGACGTGGGGACAGTAGCAGTGCTGACATGCCGGCAGCTGTGCTCACCACGGGGAGCTTCTCGCAGAGCCACCTGACCCGGGTCCATTTCCCTATCAGGTGCTGTGCGGGCACTGGGCAGGTAGCAGAGGATGAGACAGGCGAGCCCCCTGCTGGAGCGGCCATGTGCATATGTTCTCTGGTCCACAGCTTTCAGGGGTGACACGTGACTTGGCCAAGGCCCTGCCCACCTCACCAGCTGCAGCAGCCTGGGGCGGCATGATCTGGAGGTCAAGGGCACGGTCAAGGGCTCAGGCGCTCCCATGTCCACCACTAGTAGCTGTGGATGTTACCTACTTTCCCCATGCCTCACTTTCCTCATCTGTTAAATGGGCACAGTCATGAGTTAACCTATGTAAAGAGCCCTAAACAGTACCTGGCACAAAGTGTATACTTGGTGAATAGCAGCCCCCATCAGTCCTTTTTCAATCCCTGGCTCACACATCAGTACCCCTCAGGGAGCTCCCCCTTCGGACAGAACGGGCCGCTTCCTGATCTTTCTTCTCACGGCACTGAGCTCATCCTTTTTGGGCCTGTATGCCTAGCAGCGTCCCCAGTGGCTTCTGGGTCTCTGTTACGGCAGAGTCTCTGGCCAGACCACTTCTCTGTCTGCCTCGAGGCCTGGAACACACCAGGTGCATTCTAAGAGCTTGTTGGATTCACGTGGATTTGAGCCAACATCTCTCACTGTTCTAGCCAGAGTTTTCCAGCCAGATGGCCAGGATCTACTGGTCAATCTCAAAGTCCTAATGGCAGAGTCTGAGGCGTCCCCAGCCACCACCTGGGCTATGTGCAGGGAGGGGTGACAGCCAGCACTCCTCTCTGACTTCAGATTTTGAAGCCTGGTTCTCTTCGACACCTTAGCACACCTTCGTGGTCGGCAACATGGGTGCAGCTGCTGATCCAACTGGTGGCTTTCCCCTAGGGAGAGGCAGAGGAGCTCCTCCTGCAGAAAGGAAGGGAGGAAGGGTCCCTGGCCTGGCCCTCATGTGCTCCTGGGGCCCCTTGTTCCTTAAGCTTTTTGGGAGCCCCTCTGTGTCAGTCACGTATAGGATATGTAAACCTGAAGGGTGGAGCTCCCTGGCTTCGGGCGTGGCTGTCACTAGAACCTGGTCCCTGTCCTCCTCCGTCTCTCCATCTACTTCCTCGAGGGGGATTCCTACTTGGGCCCCCTGAGCTGAACTTCGGACAGCCGGGCCCATCAGCATGACTGCTGGGGTTTTGCTGGCTTGCCTGGAAAGGCGAGTTCTCTCTTCTGCCAGGCTTGGAGCTAGCAGGACGTAAGCCTGGAGCTGCCGCGATGTGCCCCAGACAGAGTCACCCAAAGGTGGATCCAGTGACAGCAAAGCAGAGGCCCAGGAAGCCCCTGTCCATCCCCCAGGGCTAACGCCTCCTCCAGGAAGCATCCCTGACTTCCCCAGGCAGAGCTGGACACCTGTCCTCTGCTCATTCCCTTCGAGGTAAACTCTATCACCACCTCTATCTCATAGCTAAGGAAGCTAGAGTTTACAGGGGATAAGCGATTTGGCCGGGGGCCACTGAAGGGATTTGAAGCCCTATCCCCAGGAGTCCACGGCCCTGGCTTCCAACCACATGCTAGGGACTCCTGGTGCTCAGGAAGGCCTTTTGGGGTGTGGGATCTAAGTCACAGCATCTATCGCACTGCAGTGGGGGGTCTCCTGTCTCAGGCCACATGTCCATCCCTGCCACCACCTCATCCACTACAGCCTTTGGCTGGTGAGGCCAGACCTGTGAGATGGGAACTCAGCCCAACATCCCCAGATGGTGAATTCAGGTCACAGAAGCTCTACCAGACAGACTGTGATTTGCTCAAGGGAATTTTAAGGCCCAGCGGCACAACTTAAGGCAGAAGATTGCTTTAATGTCAATATATCTGACTTCTTCAGTGTGTCAAACCTCTGGAGTGCTCAGAGAGACACGGGTGGCGTTGGGAGGATCTGCGACTGGCCTGCTCAGAGGGGCATGCTGGCTCAGCTCCTGCCACACTGGGAGGGCTGGGGCTACCGACCTTGCTGTAAGACATCATACAATTCTTTTTTTTCTTTTTGGAGACAGGGTCTTGCTCTGTCACCCAGGCTAGAGTCAATGGTGAGATCGTAGCTCACTGTAGCCTTGACCTGGGCTCAAGAGATCCTCCCGCCTTAGCCTCCAGAGTAGCTGGACCTATAGGTATGTGCCATCAAGCCTGTCTATTTTTTTTTTTTTTTTTGGTAGAAATGGGGTCTCACTGTGTTACCCAGGCTGGTCTAGAACTCCTGGGCTCAAGCCATCCTCCAGCCTCAGCGTCCCAAAGTGTCGGGATTACAGGTGTGAGCCTCTACACCTGCTTCATAACACAATTCCTAAGGCTCTAGAATAAATTCTCCACATGGTGGGGAGCCCAGATCTGGGGATTGCCTGAGGCTGAGTCCTGACTTTGTCAACTTTTACCTGGCAATGGTGACGCCAATCCCCTGTAGCAGGTGTGATGAGGAGACAAACCCAGGGAAGTCAGGCCACATGCCAAAGGTTACGCAGCTGGTAGAGTCCAAGCTGAGACTCAGATGGTAGGGCCCTAACTGAATTGCTACCTTTTGGTAGCCTCATCCTTGCTTTTACATGACTGGGGGGGGTACCCATGTTTATTCATTTAGTCACCCGAGGCCAGAAAAGCCCAAGAAAAGGGCTCTTCCGAGGCTCTCTTCATCCACCGAGACTGAGTCTCAGAAGCCCCCTGCTGCTTCTCACTCAGTGAAACATCATGTGGACATCACAGGGTGGGCTCCAGGTCTGACTGGCAAGGCAGAGACTCCAGCTGTGTGACCTTGGGTGGGTGGGTGAAACTTCCTGGACTCACTTTCAGACCCTGAGAAATGAGGGCAGTCACACCCGCCTCCCATTGGCTGGGATGAGAATCCAGTGAAATGACGAATACCCGTGAAACCCTGAACAGAGGCCTGGCCCCCCGAGCACTCAGTGGACTTCAGGGCCAAAACTGACTATGGCAAGCTGGGGCTGGGCCTGCCAGGGACCTCCCCTCAGCTCCAGAAGAAACGGTGCTGTGCGCTTCCCTGGAAATGCCCTGAGCTCTTTAGTCTGCATTTGCCATTTGCAGAAGGAAACAGCAGCTCTCTCCCTCCCTGGACATAATGCCCCCAGCTCCGTTTGGAAAGTTCTGGAGGATTTATGCCCCTCTCCGGCTGCCACGCCAGCCATTCATCAAGGTGCTGCTTCCCTGACGCTGGACTGAGCGCGGCCGCTGCTCCCCGGCTTACCCCGCGATAGGTGTCCTCGGGAGATTTATTGTAGTTCCAGAAGCGCAGGCCTGCGATGCTTTCAGCCCTGTCGAGGCAGATTGTGACCACGTGGTCTAGCCCCGGCGAGAAGGGGATCAGCCACATATGCTCATCCTCCATGGTGATGTTGGTGCCATCAATTAACCTGCAGCAACGGGGACGGAGCGGCGGGGGGCGGCTCGGTGGGCACAGGAGGCATCGCAGCGGGGCCCCCACCCCCTCGCCCCCCAGGGCGTCTCCCCTGCCTGTCACTGGCTGCATCAGGCTCATTAAGGGGAGGTGTGACTGATGAGAACAACAGTCAGAAGTTGTCTCTCATCTATGAAATGAGACATTTTTAAAAAGGAAAAAAAAATAGCCTATGGTGTTAAAGGTACAGAAAAGCAATCATCAGGGTTTTTTTTTTTTTTTTTTTTAAAGGGAAAACGTGTCATTTTTCAGAATTCTTTAGCCCAGTGATCCCATTTCTGGGATTTTTTTCCCCCAGAAGGAAAATGTATTCAACATACGGGAAAGGCTATCTGCACCAAGATGCTCATTACAGTGTTATTTATACTAGCTTAAAACAGAACAACCTAAAAGATCTCTAAATCGGGACATGGTTAAGTAAATTTCACAGGGGTTAAGGGGGCATCGTGAGGATACCGCAGCCACATGGAGGAGGTAGGACACTGATTATAAAGCTGAGAAATAAGGACAAGGACCAGGAGAGAGGGCACAAAAGTGAAAAACATAATTGGGTCAGAGGGTATGAAGGTGAATATTTTTTTCAAGTTTCCAAACTTTCTGTAAATTTGCTGCATTGGTTTATGGCACATTTGAAAAGAAGTGTAGTCCTTCCTTCCCAAGCTTGGGGAGAGGCACAAAAGCACCAGGTGAGCTCTGCAGCTCTTGGTGACTCTGTGGGAGCTGCTCTGGCCAGACCATGCTCTGTGACCCCATGGCCTGAGTATCGCATGGAAGCCCCCAGCACCCTCGTGCTCTTCCCAGCCAGCGCTCTGAGCTTGTCACCTCAGCCCTATCACATGCCCGTCCTGGCCAGTTTTTGGTTCCCTTGCTTGGGACATCCTGCTCATCCTCAAGTTGACCTGTGTTTGTCCCAAGGACAATTGTGCCTCTTGCTTCCCTGGACTTCCCAGCATGCCTCAGCCCAGGCCCTTGTCCTCATGGCTCTGGCCAATGTGTCTGGCACTGCCATTCAGAGGCCTGGTCCTGGAGAAAGGGGCCCAGCTGGCAGCCTCTTGAGCAGCCTCCCTCTCCCTCCCATTTTCCAGGGCCTTCCCCACTCCGCACACCCTAGATTCCTGGTGCCTTGCAGCTTCTGTACTGGGAGAAACCTGGTCTACTGCCACATTTCCTAGATTTGAAAAGAAACTTCTTATTTCCTTTTACATTTTAAAGTTGTGAATTTGGAATAAAATCTCACAATCGAAGTGTTTATCCAAGGAGGTAATATTTCTTTGTTCTCTAAAATGCTGTTATTAAATTGATGGATGGTGTGTCTGACAATTGCTGGCAACTTAAAATTGAGGAAATTCAGCAGTTCCACCCTGGAATGTCTGTGGAACTAAGCTGACTGAGGACAACGACTAGAGAACCTTCCAGTTTCTTCCAAAGGCAATTATCTTTCTGTCCTAGAAATGGGGCTGCCTCCATGGCAAACCTGCCCAATTCTGAGAGCAGAGAGAACTGCTGGAGCATTTGCAGCTGACAGTGAAAGGAAGGTCCTATAGACACTCTCAGGAACATCTCAATGAATTCCTAGCTCTATCCATAAAGAAGCCTAGAAACAGTAACCAGCCAAGTAGCAATGAGCATCCCTAGTGCCAGATTATGGCTTCTAAATCCCATTTCCCACTAAAGGAACCAGGGCACGGCTGATTCCAGGTCTGGGATAAGAAATATACAAGATGAGCCTGAATCATCCTGTCATGTCAGAAGGTGAGAAAGGTGGCTGTTTTAAAAGGACTCAGGACTTCCCAGCATCCAAGAGGGAACGATCTGAGCATCATTTGGGATAAAAACTGCCATGAATTTGACTTTTCAAATGCAGTACTGCATGTTTAAAATCCATAAGTTCATAATAATTCCTAAAAAGAAACACATGTTTTAGACAACACTAGAGAAACAGTTATTTGGAAAACCAAAAAGAAAAGGAGGAGAGAGAATCGAGCCCTTAGGCTGCCTTTCCTGTTTGAATTGCACCACAGAGTAGCCAAATAATTGCGGGAAATTCTCTCTTCATTGCAGTTATTTCAGCAAATAAATAAACAAAAGAATAGTAGGCACAAAATACCATCATTTTGCAACCCCTAATGAATTAATGGACTTCACCAGCATGACTGGCTTCCAACGTCAGAAAGAGTTGACAACCAGCTGTTACATACGTCCTGATGGCCACACTGACAGCTATGTGGTTGTCTTGCCCTAGTGGATGACCCTCAATCTGATCACGCGTCTAGATGAAATTAACAATGTACTAGAAATACAGGGGAGCGAGGAGCAGGCTCAACAATACAGCAGAGATGCAGCCAGTAGAATCCACGTCCACCTGGTTTTTCAACAGGTAATTTACAAGAAAAAATGGCAAAAGGTGAAAGAGAACCTAGAGATTACAAGAGGCTTAAGAGACATAGCAACCAATCGCAACACATAGACCTTATCTGGATCTCAATTCTAATAATCAAACTGTTAAAAAGGGTGGGGGTGGGAACTACAAATCTGATAGGTATCTGGTAATTTTAGAAATCCTTGTTAACTTTTTCTTTTTTGTTGTTGAGACAGGGTCCCACTCTATTGCCCAGGTTGGAAAGCAGTGGCACAATCATGGCTTGCTGCAGCCTTGAGCTCCTGGGCTCAAACAACCCTCCCACCTCAGCCTCTCAGAAGCTCTCCAGCTCCTCAGCCTCTCCAGCTACTCAGAGGCAACCCTCCCACCTCAGCCTCTGAGTAGCTGGGACTACCAGCACATGCCACAACGCCTCCTATTTTATTTTTCAGTTTTTGTAGAGACACAATCTCACTACGTTGCCCAGGCTGGTCTTGAACTCCTGGGCTCAAGTGGTCCTTCTGCCTTGGCCTCCCAAAGTGCTGGCATTACAGGCATGAGCTACCACACACAGGCAACTTTTGCAAGTATAACAATGGTACCAGTATTATGTTTCTCTTAAATCCTTTATTGTTTAGAGGTATACACTAAAATACTTCAAGAGCAAATGCTATCGGGCCTGGGATTTGATGACAGATAATCTGGCAGGGGGGTGGTGAGTGGGTGGGAAGGATCCACAAGCCCCACTGTGCAGTGATCACTTTTCCAGCTGACCAGGAGCCAGGTCTCCAGGCTCCAAGCCTAAACACTCAGCAGAGTGACTTGCCAGGATGTGGAGGTAGTCAGAGGGATCCAATGGCAGCAGGGGTGAGGCCATGGTTCAGGGCCACCTTATAGAAAACCAGGGAGAAGCCTGCCACTGACTCTGCAGGAGTTCAGCACCAGGCCAAGGGATGTGGCTGCAATGTGACATGCCATGGGAATGACTGTCCCCACTCTACTGATCAGGAACCCAAGGCAGGGGAGACTGTGTAACTTAGTGGTTTTGTGAGTGGATTGTGGGTGTCCCCCAGACCTGCGTTCCAGTCATTACTCTGCCACTGCACCAGTCTGGGTGACCTCTGCCCAGTTTTCAACCTCTTTGTATTTCAGTGTCTACATCGGTATATATAGAGCTGATAATGGTTTCTCCATCAAAGGGCTGTTTGAGACTTCAACGGATGAACATCTGTCACCTGCTTTGCATAGCCCAGTGCCTGGCATGCAGTAAGCACTCAAAAACCAGCAGTGATACAATCAGTTATCATTATTGTCCTTGCAGTTATTATTGGAGAGGTTAAGAAAGTTACCTAATAGTTGGCATGGGGCAGAGGCAGGATTTGAACTCCCATCCCTCTGACTCCCTTAGTTCACACCTCCAAGCAGTGCCCAGGCCCTCTGGCTGTGCAGAGCATGGGAGCCGAGTACTGCTCTGCGGTTTGCAGGTCCATATGGTTCAATGCTATATCTGAGGCCCACCCCCTTATTGACTTGACCCAACCTTGGCTTATGAAATCTGACAAGTGCAGGGGAAAGTGCAGCCACCACTGCCTACAGAGACTTCCTGAGCCATCACCTCCAGCTTCACGGAGGGGAGAGAGAGCTTTCAGCCCCTGGGAGGCCTGGGTCACGCATGCGTAAACTGAACTGCCCACTGCAAAGGTTTACAGACAGCTACTGTGTGCAAGGCACTCTGCTAAGCACGGAGAAGAAAACGCAGACCACGGCTGTGTCTGGAAGCATGGGAACCTACCTTCGCATCCCGCCCGCACTTCCAGCTGTGTGGCCCTGGAGAGTCACCTCCCGCCTTGCTTTCCTGAGCCTCGGTTTCCCTCGACCACATGACCTCACAGGGTGGCCGGGGGAGGGACATATGTGATTCTATTTGATGTCTGAGCCTGTAGTCTCAGAGACAGAATAGTGTCCCCAGAACCCTGTGGTCAGGAAAGTAATAATTCTGATAGACACTCACTTGTCCAGGGTCCGGGAGTCGTCAGAGTACTCGGGAAGCTCATTTAAGTCTCTGGGGGAGGCGGAGATCTGGTGCCGGCGGATGGGCAGTGCCTGACCCTCCTTGCCCACCACTTCCAGGCCAGTGAGCCCAAGGAAGTGCAGGTCTCCCCAGGAAGCAGTGAAATTCAGCTGAAGGCCTGCAACAGGAAGACAAGTGGCGCATCAGCACCACAGGCGACTTCTAAAATGAAGACAGGAAGAGGAATGCTATTCGGCCTCTACATTCCAGCAATTTCAACCCAGACCCAAAGTGCCTTGCGGGAGGGCTCTGTGCCGTTCCTCTAGGTGGCCTTGGGCCCAGGCCACTGCCAGTGCTCAGGAAACATCAGCAGGCTGCATGGATGAGGGTTAAACCTGCACACAGCCCTGGGTCCTTCCTCTGCCTACCAGATTGTGCTGTCCCACCCCATACTGAACGTCCTTAGTGGCTTCCCATGCTTTCTGGCCAACAATGCATTCCCCATCAGACTTCCACCTACTTCTCCAGCCTCACTGTGCAGCAGGGATCCTGGGCCCCACCCAGGCTGTCTTTCAGTCTCTCTCGGATTTATATTTCTCTCTCCAACCACAGGGCCTTTGCATGTGCTGTCAGCCCTCTCTAGAGCTCACATGGCCTGGGTGACTGGTGCTCACCCTTCAGATCCCAGCTCCCTGTCTCAGAGAAGCCCTCCTGACTTCTTCGGCCAGGTCAAACCTCCACTGATAACCTGCCATGCCACTGCATGCTTCCCCCTCCAAGCCCTGGTCACGGCTGTAATCTCGTGATCATTTGATAAATATCCTCATGTCCTGCCTGGCTAATTCCTTGAGGGAGAAGCCTCATCTGTTTCTCTAAACCACTGTATCCTGAGCCTGGCAGAGTGCCTGGCACACAGTAAGACCTTAGTACCGATGAAATGATTAAACCAGCAGCTACATGGAGACTGTTAGATCAGTAAGCCCCGGTGCTGGAAACAGATTTTATGCAAATTGGCTGCTATTACAAGGATTCGCGTGCGCTCAGAGTAAAGGAAGTGACCTATGGTGATACCTCCATCCTTTTGCCTCTGCTCCCACCCTCTCTCGATCAGAGACCATTTAGAAGTGACCTTCTGTGGCCCTGGGGCAAAACAGCCCAGGTGCCTTTCATTTGCCCAGGAAGCTCAAATGGAATGAATCTCTTGATCAAGGCCTGTCAGATAATTGGCTGGAGCGTCTCCTTCCTTAATGGTCTCTCATTAGAGCAAGACCAAGCCAATGAGCCCTTCTGCCCTTGGAGAATTTGCTGCTTATTTTAGCACCCTTTTGGGTAGCTGAGTTGAAGACTCTCACTCTTTGCAGCGTTCACAGAATTCCAGCACTGAAGAGCGGGCAGAAGGAAGCTGGGATGTCATTGGTGCCACCCCTTTGCAGCTCAAATGAGGAACTGGAAGCCCAGAGAGGTGAAAGGGCGTCTCTGTGGCCGTGAGGAGGGGCTGGGTCAGCTGGCCTCCCTGGAGCATGGTTTTCTTTCCCACGCCCCTGTCAGGTCCCAACATACTTTTTGTAACTTAACCCTCAGGTCCTTTCCTCCTTGGTGGTGCCAAGGTAGCTCTGAGCATCTCCCGGGCAGGTGAAAAAAACGTGTGGCCAGCACAGCACCCTGTACGAGGGCTTCTCGCCACATCGGTCACGTGCAAAACTACAAACTCCTCCCGCCCGTGTCCCGGCCGTTGCAATGTGATTTTGCTGCTGATCCATCCAGAGTTGTAGTCTATTTCCCCGCTCCTGACTCTGCTTTGAACAATGGGACAGAGGCCCACATCACGCAAGCAGAGGCTGTAACGCACTTGTGGGTTGAGACTGCCGTGTGAAGCGGCCCAGCGAACCCAGTCGCCGTCTCTCTGGCCAGCAACCTCCCCGCCACCAGACCTGTGGGTGATATCGTAGGCCATTCAACTGCTGGTCCACCTCCCTGCTCACCAGGAACTTGAGCGGGCCCAGCAGAGGCCAGCCAAGCCGGCTCACCCAGAACTGCCCAGCCAAGTCACTGAATTCCAAGCCAATGATGAATACGATTCACGGTAGTTGTGTGAAGCTGGTGAGTTTTGGATTGGCTTGTTCAGCAGCAAAAGCTAGCTGACACACTCTTTCTCAGCCTGGGTCAGTGTTCCTATGTCATTTCCTGAGAGGCCTCCCCTAATAACCAGAGCCCAAATAGCCCCGCTCACCCTGTCACATCCTCATCCTGCCCGCCTTGTTGTTTATAGCACTCAATGCTTCCTGACAATCGAGCCTACACTGATCTGCTTATTTGCCTTCATCAGTCTCCCCCACTATGATGGAAGCTCCCTGAGGCCAGGACTCTGCTCGTTTTGTTCACTGCGGTATCCCCAGAGCCCAGAACAGTGCTTAGCAGATGCTCAATGAATGTTTTTAAGTAGAAAACCCAATAGGTCCGACAAGTTTTGTTGATGATTCTTTTGTCCCATTTACTTGCAGATATCTACCGAACCCCTACTTTTTTTTTTTTTTTTTTTTTT